GTGACCCAGTGCCCGCTGTCATACCTGGTGACCCGATGCCCGCTGTCGAGCCAGACAATCCGGTACCTGATGACCCGGTGCCCGCGCTGTCGTGCCAATTGAGTCAGAGTCCACTGTCGTGCCTGGTGATTCGGTGCCCGCAGTCTTGCCAGACGACTCGGTGCCCGCAGTCTTGCCAGAGGACTCTGTGCCCGCTGTTCCGCCAGACGACTCGGTGCCCGCAGTCTTGCCAGACGACTCGGTGCCCGCAGTCTTGCCAGACGACTCGGTGCCCGCAGTCTTGCCAGACGACTCAGTGCCCGCAGTCTTGCCAGACGACTCGGTGCCCGCAGTCTTGCCAGACGACTCGGTGCCCGCAGTCTTGCCAGACGACTTGGTGCCCGCTTTTCCGCCAGTTGACTCGATGCCCGCTGTTCCGCCAGACGACTCGGTGCCCGCAGTCTTGCCAGACGACTCGGTGCCCGCAGTTTTGCCAGACGACTCGGTGCCCGCAGTATTGCCAGACGACTCGAAGCCCGCTGTTCTGCCAGTTGACTCGATGCCCGCTGTTCCGCCAGTTGACTCGGTGCCCGCAGTCTTGCCAGACGACTCGGTGCCCGCAGTCTTGCCAGATGACTCGGTGCCCGCAGTCTTGCCAGACGACTCGGTGCCCGCAGTCTTGCCAGACGACTCGAAGCCCGCTGTTCCGCCAGTTGACTCGATGCCCGTTGTTCCGCCAGTTGACTCGGTGCCCGCAGTCTTGCCAGACGACTCGGTGCCCGCAGTCTTGCCAGCGACTCGGTGCCCGCAGTCTTGCCAGACGACTCGAAGCCCGCTGTTCCGCCAGTTGGCTCGGTGCCCGCAGTCTTGCCAGTTGACTCGGTGCCCGCAGTCTTGCCAGTTGACTCGGTGCCCGCAGTCTTGCCAGTTGACTCGGAGCCCACTGTCGTGCCTGGAGACTCGGTGCCCACAGCTCCGCCTGGAGGCCCGAGACCTGTCGCTCCGCCTGGGGGTCCGGCGCCCGCCGCTCCGCCTGGGGGCCCGATGCCTGTCGCCCCGCCTGGGGGCCCGATGCCTGTCGCCCCGCCTGGGGGCCCGATGCCTGTCGCCCCTCCTGGAGGCCCCATGCCTGTCACCCCGCCTGGGGGCCCGATGCCTGTCGCCCCGCCTGGGGGCCCGATGTCTGTTGCCCCGCCTGGGGGCCTGATGCCTGTCGCCCCTCCTGGGGGCCCGGTGCCCCGCCGCTCCGCTTGGGGGCCTGATGCCTGTTGCCCCGCCTGGGGGCCCGATGCCTGTCGCCCCTCTTGGGGGCCCGGTGCCCGCCGCTCCGCTTGGGGGCCCGATGCCTGTCACCCCTCTTGGGGGCCGGCGCCCGCCGCTCCGCTTGGGGACCTGATGCCTGTCGCCTCGCCTGGGGGCCCGATGCCTGTCGCCCCTCCTGGGGGCCCCATGCCTGTCGCCCCGCCTGGGGGCCCGATGCCTGTCACCCCGCCTGGGGGCCCGATGCCTGTCGCCCCTCCTGGGGGCCCAAAGCCCGTCGCTCCGCTTGGGGGCCTGATGCCTGTCGCCCCGCCGGGGGGCCCGATGCTTGTCGCCCCGCCGGGGGGCCCGATGCCTGTCGCCCCGCCTGGGGGCCCGATGCCTGTCGCCCCTCCTGGGGGCTCGGCGCCCGCTGCTCCGCTTGGGGGCCCGATGCCTGTCGCCCCTCCTGGGGGCCCGGCGCCCGCCGCTCCGCTTGGGGGCCTGATGCCTGTCGCCCCGCCTGGGGGCCCGATGCCTGTCGCCCCTCCTGGGGGCCCGGCGCCCGCCCGCTCGCTCCGCTTGGGGGCCCGATGCCTGTCGCCCTGCCGGGGGGGCCCAGTGCCCGTCGCCCCGCCTGGGGGCCCGGTGCCTGCTGCTCCGCCTGGGGGCCCGGTGCCTGCTGCTCCGCCTGGGGGCCCGGTGCCTGCTGCTTCACCTGGTAATCCGATGTGCCTCTGCCCAGAGTCCAGCCCGACGTGCCTCTGCCCGGAGTCCGGCCCGACGTGCCTCTGCCCGGAGTCCGGCCCGACGTGCCTCTGCCCGGAGTCCGGCCCGACGTGCCTCTGCCCGGAGTCCGGCCCGACGTGCCTCTGCCCGGAGTCCGGCCCGACGTGCCTCTGCCCGGAGTCCGGCCCGACGTGCCTCTGCCCGGAGTCCGGCCCGACGTGCCTCTGCCCGGAGTCCGGCCCGACGTGCCTCTGCCCGGAGTGCCTCTGCCCGGAGTGCCTCTGCCCGGAGTCCAGCCCGATGTGCCTCTGCCCGGAGTCCAGCCCGATGTGCCTCTGCCCGGAGTCCAGCCCGATGTGCCTCTGCCCGGAGTCCAGCCCGATGTGCCTCTGCCCGGAGTCCTGCCCGATGTGCCTCTGCCCGGTGTGCCGCTGCCCGGAGTCCTGCCCGGTGTGCCAGTCTTTGATATCCCGCCAGTTACCAGACCCGGGCGGTGGAACATTTTGCCCAGCTAGGACTGTTTGGAGCGTCCTGAGGCCGCTCCTTGAGGGGGGGGTACTATCAGGAATGAACTGGCCAGCAATAGTGGGATTCGCCTGCCTTATGAGCTGCAGTACCAGGGCTGGCCAGCGGGTGCTCCCAGCAATCAGAGACTCAACCTTGCAGCCAGTCAAACACCTGGAACTAATTATACTGGTGTATTTAAGGGACATTCAGACCTGCAGACTCTGCCTTGGTGTTGTGTTTCTCTCCTGGGCCCTGTTTCCTGTTCCTGTTCCTGTCTGATTCTCTGCTGACCCTGCTCTGATCCCTGGCTTGTCTGACCATTCTCCTGCTCCTGATCCCTGGCTTGTCTGACCATTCTCCTCTGCCTGACCCTCTGTACCACGCTGCCCGCTACCTGCTGAACCTGGCTTGTGACCCTGACCATTCTCCGCTTGCTCCCCCTGTACCTACCTGCCCGATTGATATTGACCCGGCCTGCCTGACGACACTTGCATTGTATGTACTGTTATCTGTGGGTGGTTGGTTTGGTTTGTTTGCACTGTGTTATGTTTTAGTATTGCACTGCGTTTATGTTTGTATTGTTAGTGTTAATAAATTACATCGTTTATAACATATCTGAAGTCTGCGTTTCCCTGCGTCAGTCACACACCTCTGGTCATACCCGGGAGCCCTGATACTACCGTTTTCCACCAAGATAACCAAATCCAAACTAGCCTCATCCCCCTCCCAAATAATAAACACATCATCAATGAATCATCTCTAACGTCTTAACTGATGAGGTTTTATATGAAATACAACCTCCGATTCCCAGTGTGCAATTAAAATATTGGCTAAACTGGGAGCGAAATGAGCCCCCATAGCAACTTCATACACTTGATAGTATTGATTATCATACCAGAATTAATTGTGCTGGAGCCCGAACTGTAGACTCTCCATTAGAAACCTCTTATATTTATTGAATAACTCATATTTTTCAAGAGCCTATCTAACCACAGATAACGTATCTTCATGCTTAAGCACTTGTACGCCTGCTTGGCCTGCTCCTAGCAGCCTAGAGACACTGAGCAGTATCCTCAACCTGCCTTTAGCTGAACCAGAGGCACAAAGAGGAGCTTCCGGTGCAACTTCAGCCATGCCAGGGACACAGAACGGAATCACCAGTCTATCCCCCTTCATTCCAGAGACTCAGAACTGGGTCGCTAATCCATCCCAGCTGTTCCAGAAGAACCAGACAGATTCACCGGAGTCATCCTATCGGCGCGCATGAGGGCTCCCTCCACCATCAGTACCTAACACTGAATAGCAGGACTTGATGAGAGGGTTGTTATCCCATTCTTTGCACTGAACAGCTGACACTGTCACCATAGTTCATCATTGCCTTACCCTTCTACCATTTGAGAGCCATCCGTTGTAACCAGACCATTCTCAAGACTGTTGTTTAACTCCTCAAGATCCCCTCTCCTCCTATCCTGATACCACTACAACTGACAATCCTCCCTTCATTCAGCACCCAGAACTTGCTTTACCTTTGTGGGTAACTTTAGTTCCTCTTAGTTAAATCCCATTCAGTTCTTTCTGCTATACCTATCCTACTGACATTAAGCAGGTAAAGATCATTAAGCTGCACCAATCATGCACCACTATTAGGGTCCCAATTAAACTGTCAGGATCTAAGCGATTTCCGTCTTTTGTGTTTTTTGTGGGGAACAGCATATTTCTCCTTTTGTCTGGTAGACATTTACCCACTCACACAGACTTTACCATCCAAACCCTATTCTTGTGGGAAATTGGTTGCCAGGTATATTGCAAAGTCCTGCAGGCAGACTTGAAACTAGCTGGGTCACTCCAGGGGACTTGATGGGATCATAGTCTATAGAGGCTTTGCTACTACATCTCTAGCTGCTATAAGTGCACCCCTTTGTGCCCTTGTTACAGTTTAAACTGATCTAGATATTTTGTGAAATCTGGGCCCAGTTATCCTTGCCTTTTGTAAATTGGCATATTTAGCAGAGAAGGTCTCTCTATAGTGTTAGGTTTTCTAAGAATACGGTAAGTTTCATGATCCTGCAACAATCTTTACATTGCATTTTTAAAGTAAGGTTTAGTCATCACCACAGTACCACCCCTTTTATCTACGGGGCTGATACCTAACTCTTTTTTCTCTTCTAATTCTTTAATCCCGCTCTGATCAAACTCAGATCTTGTACTTTCTTAACTTTCAGGTTTTCCAAATCCCCTAGGACCATATTATGAAAAACATCAACATGCTTGTGTTATATTTGTTCTGATGATTGAAGACTGGTGATTTGTAGTATATCCACAGTCTCTGGTCATCTGTAGTATATCCACAGTATCTGGTCATCTTCTGTACTACAGTATGTCTGCAGTCTCTGGTCATCTCCTGTACCATGTCTGCAGTCTCCGGTCATCTCCTGTAGTATGTCCACAATCTCTGGTCATCTCCTGTAGAATGTCTGCAGTCTCTGGTCATCTCCTGCAGTATGTCTGCATTCTCTGGTCATCTCCTGAAGTATGTCCACAGTCTCTGGTCATCTCCTGTAGTATGTCTGCAGCCTCTGGTCATATCTTGTACTATGTCTGCAGTCTCTGGTCATCTCCTGTAGAATGTCCGCAGTCTCTGATCATCTGTGGTATGTCCGCAGTCTCTGATCATCTCCTGTACTATGTCCGCAGTCTCTGGTCATCTCCTGTACTATGTCCGCAGTCTTTGGTCATATAGTATGTCTGCAGTCTCTGGTTATTTCCTGTACTATGTCTGCAGTCAGGGGCGGTCTGACCATTCCGGCTCTCGGGCACTGCCCGAGGGCCCGGGTAAGTAGGCAGCCACATGAGATGCCCCTGATACCTTTCATAGGCTTTTTTGGATGTGGTTTGAGTGTTGGTGAGAACACAGTGGCCCCATGGATTCCTATTGCCCGGGGGCCCCATGAGTTGTCAGTCTGTCCCTGTCTGCAGTCCATTGGTTCAGAATTTTTTTTCTTGTTTTCCTCCTCTAAAATCTAGGTGCGTCTTATGGTCAGGTGTGTCTTATGGATCGAAAAATACGATAAGTCTTTCAATCAGGGCAAATGTAAGCCCTTTATCTAGCACCATCAATTCCTTCATGTTTAAGAGAAACACTGCACAAACTAAAAATTCCTTCACCTAATTGTATCTTCTTTTGAAATTTTCTACTTACCCTACTTCTTCTCTTCCTCTTTCCCCAAATTTTCTTCCAGTTAATGGTTCTCTCCCATAGTTGGTTTCTCTGTCGTCCTAAAAAAAGTTCTTGATTCATCCTCCTCCATATTCTATAAGGGATATATCTATTGTAGGTGGGAATCCCAACCCTTCATGTTACCCAGTGCCTCCACATGCACCATTATATGAATCATATTGTCTGCTTCTCTTTCTCCCATTCCATGGGGAGAAGAACTGCTTTTGGGGAGTATAATCATATCCCTGTTGATCCCTATCTGTTCTTTATATCATCTTTGTGTTGAGTAGGGAGCCATCTATTGGGTGTTCACTGCAACTGCGTCTGTTTTTATTATTCCCTGTTAACAAGAACAGGAAGCGTTTTATGTTTGTTAAGAATAAAGATTTCCCATAAACCATTGCAGACATTTTAGCTTCTAGAAAAACTCCAGTATAGGTCTCCTCTATTCTCTCTGTGATACACGTAAAGTTCTTTCTCTGTGTTTGTTAAAGTCACATGCATAGCTAGATCGCATTTAAATGTGTTCAACGTGATTGGTAGGTAGAAATGTATTCATTGTAGGCATTTGTGAGAGGCATATACAAACATATTTTAATTTCACTTTATGTGATTGTATTGCAGTTTTACAGAACTATTCCAGAAGTAAATTCAGTTTTGGAATGAAACACAATGCTGCTTCTGTCAGTTTTGTTAGCTAATTGTCAGCTAACCGTTACTAGAACAGCATACTATCCTTATTCTGTTACATCCAATCCCTCTGATCCAATCCCCTGGTTCCTCTGGGGTTTTGTTGTTACTGTGATCACCCCTAACTAGGGGCGGACTCGTACCTATCTCTCTGAGTATTTGGGGTAGTGTTATGTGAAGAAAATTCATTCTCCTCCACTTTTCTCTGACATTTAAAGACTTCATTACTTGTATAGTCTCCAACATATATGAAGAATTTCTTTCTTTTCTTCTCCTGTTCTTCCTTATCCCATATTTCCATATTTTCATCCTCGCTCTTAGTTTCTCTAAGAGTTTACAAAACTCCAGAGTCTCCTTATGCAGTTTCTTCAATTCTTTTATCTGAGCTTCTAACATTTTCATCTCCCTTTGTTTCAAAAGAAACTGTAACATTTCTGTTCCCTTTCTATTAAAAAAGCATTCACTTAACAAATCATTACCAACCCATCGTTCTGTGGAATATCTCATCTCACACGTCTACAACTGACTAGATCTCTTCACTGGACAGAATGTCTCAGGTAAAATATATGTGAGACATCTAGAAGATAAATGAATTCACCCAATATTTAAGCAAGGAAGCTAAGGAAGAGGGTGATTGGTTTTTGTGTCTTACTAGGTTTTGTTGTTGTGCTTTTGTGCATAAGTTAGCTGCTGAAATTATATGCTTTTTGATATACGGGGGTAAAAAAATGGAAGCACTACATGATTTGCAGGTGTGAAAATGACGACATGTTTTGTGTTGAAAGTGGGAGTATTGTAACATTCTTTAGCTTCCGCTGAGTGATAAGACAACCGGTAAAAGCCTCAGTTTTGTCATGCGCTGCTAATAATACGGAGTCATGTCAGAGCTTACTGAGCTTCAATGAGGGCAAATTGTTGATGCTCGCTCAGCTGGTGACTACAGTTGCCAATTTATTTGCTGTGTCACAAGGTACAGTATCAAAGGTTATGTTGGCATATACAGTTTCTGGGAAAATATCATCTGATAAGCATAAGCGCGGCCAACATGGTCAATTAACTGAAAGAGACAAAAGGATATTGCACAGGATTGTGACCAAGAATAAGAAAACCACTGCTGCAAAAGTAACTGCACAGCTCCGCCTCAGTCTTCAGTCTTGAGGCCCTAAAATGCCAGGACAGTACAAATTCCCTCCAAATGACCCTTTTTGGAAAGTAGACAGTCTGAGGCATTTAGTAAGAGGCGTGGTGAGTTTATTGAAGTTGTAATTTTTTGTCACTTTTTTTTTTAATTGAAAATTTTTTTTTTTCACAAAAACGTTTTTAACTGTCATGAATGGGGTAACCATTCATGACAGCTGTGATCACTAGTGATCTGTGATTGGCTACAGCTAATCCAAATAAGACTTGAAGTGCCACTCTAAGCTGAGGCAGAGATCTCCAAGCTGGTTACAGTGCAGGGAGCTGATGTCAGTGTACCATTTGGAGGTGTAAGAGCATTATCAAAGAGAAGAAAAGTCTCCGCTCAACAACCCAGTACATTAGTATGTAGATAAATGTGGTCTCAGCCAGCTACAGCTAATCACATAGTACAGAGGGCTGTGATTGGGCCAGGTACCATGTGATAGCTGTGGGCCGATCACAGCCTAGGAAACACAGCTGTTATGAATGAATTAACTCATAACAGCTTTGTTGACACTGTGATCATGTGACTGCATAGTGATCACATGATCACTGGGACCCAAGAATCGGGATGCGCGTGGGGGGGGCTCTGTGTGCCCCTGAACCAGACTGCACCAGAGCAGGCAAAATCACATACACATACATGATCATGATTTTGCCTGCAGGTGCAGCTCAGCCACAGTATATGTACTATGGCTTGTCAGCAAGTGGTTACATAGTTCATTGGGCTAATTATTTATTGCCAACTCTAATGGACGGATATATAAGGAAGCTGGCTGATATATAGAAATATGGTGGACAGCTGAGAAATTTGGTCTATCACATGAGTGTTCCGCAACATCGTAAGTAATGATCTATTTTGGGGACTATTTTAGTACTTAATATGTATACTTTCTCAGTGTATAAACTTATGGGATGATAATGTAAAATTTTTTTGTTGATTTAGCCAGAACAAAATAATATTACCCCCCCCCCCCCCCAAGTATTATTATAGTGTTACATGTTGTACTTAGTTGGTCCAAGCTGCCCCCTTTGTAAGATGTGTTGGAGATATGGGGCAGTGAATGCTAGCTAACCTTATCAAAATATTTCGCTAGTCTTTATATATTTGCATAATTCTACATATTACTCCAATTCCAGTGGTGAATATGGCCTGTGTGGTCCTTGTGAGCTCATGGGCTGGCCAAATGGAGATATGGCTTTCCTTATGATTCAGTGAAAGGACATCTGGTATTTATGAACACTATGGCTGTTATAATCATTTGTGTATAAAAATGTAAGTGCTGTATGGCTGTTACAATTTGTATTGTCAGCAAAGGTTTTGTGCTTGTTTTGTGATTGTTTGTTGAATTTATTTTTATTTGATTCCAGAGTGGTGGACTCTTACTCCTGAGGAAGTATAAAAGAGACATTTGAAATGTGTTGGCTCACCGAACACACAGACTTTTTGATTAAAAATCTAGTGGCAAAGTCTGAACTGGGTTTAAGTGTGATCACCGCTAATAAATATAATGGGTGAGTTTAACTATCTATGGCTTTGATACTTTTTGTAATAAACATGTGCCATGGGTGTTTTATCACCATACTATGGTTTTAACATTTGTATATAATAAAGTTAAATATTTTGCCAATTTTTGAACGTCTTTTAAGTCACCAATAGAGGTTTCTGGTAGGAATTTACAAAGCTGGAGGATGGTGGCAACCCTGGTTCACACCAGAAACCCATTTATTATTATGATGTGTGAATGGGAACACAAACAAACATATAGCAGGGTTATCTCAAATTTGACTTCAAAAATGGAAATACTTTACCCCATCTTGAAAAGACCATTTTGCATGTGCGGTTCAGTGTACATTCTGCAGAGAATTATGAACTGTTAGGTAAGTTTATTTTATCACAGAACATAGGTTACATGTTTTTTCTGCATTAGAGAGCCTGCTTGTTCGTAAGTTGTTTTTTTTTTTGCCTTTAGTTCTGCTTTAAGCCCTGATTTGAACAAGTCATTTTAAAATCTAAAAATAAGTAGGAGACTGTTGTTTATTTGCAGAAAAAAATAACAGCCTAAAAAATGGTAGTATCTACGTTCAAGGTATTAAATTATTGGTCACTAGGCCCCAGTTCAAACTGATCCCTAACAACCATTTACATTAGAATGTCATTTATTTCCAGAAAAAATCCCAATAAAAAGACTGCTGTGTCTCCATTTCTCGTATTAATTCATTGCACTTAATGCAGACCTTCCCCCCTCTTTTTATCTGAAACCGCTGGTAGTAATGAAATAAGTATTGCCAAATGAATACATATGATTAATAAAAGTGCATCCATATGTCCTGGTCCGCCTTCACATGTAAACCTGTGCTACAATTTTAGCAGTTGACATCATTGGCTTCTTCTTCCTACTGATGATGTCAGCGCAGAGTTCTTGGTATGTTCTCACAGTTATCATCTGTGGAAAAAAATACATTTTCTGCCTAAAATTTTGTGAGATATTGAAAATCCCAAGAGCTCACAATTTACAAAAAAGATCTCCCTGGAAGGCACTGGTGACAGTCTTTCCAAAGAGAATATCTAAGACACTGGCTACCTCACCAGTGTCTCACATTATCAAAGAAGTGTAATTAAACAGGGTGTAAGTACCAAAATAAATATTTTAAATGTATTTTAGATGTTTTGAGATCAGCAGAGCTGCATACACCAGGGTTTTTTTTGTAGTTTTATAAAGGGAAGATCCATTTTAACTACTTGCGTACCGGGCACTTTCCCTTCCTGTCCAGGCCAATATTCAGCTCTCAGTGCTGTTGCACTTTGAATGACAATTGAAAAAAATACCACTGAATCTCTACTGCTTCCACGTGACTATGACTTCTTTTGGGACATTTGGAACATCTACTCACAATGCCACAGGATTGTCTGTTTCCTACTTCCGAAATCCACAAGGCACTCTTCAATGAGGGAGACACAGACTCTCACTACTATAGGACAGCTGTACACTCTTCCCTCCAACTTTCTCCTGGCACTCTCCAGTGAGCTTTTCCAGACTCAAACTGACTCCAGGACTAAGCTTTGCTAATAGACCCTCCAACTAAAGCTCCAATTGGGACCTCAATATTTTCTAAATGGCACCTCCAATAATCCTGCCTTGGGCAAAGCCACTGCACAGGGGTCCCCTCCAGCAGGACTGGACCCAGGAACTCTCTCCCTCTGGCTATTTATAAGCTCTCCAGCCACCTACTGAGCACACATCCTCAGGGATTGGCTGTATTCAGGCTACCTACTCTGTTCTTCCTACCACTATGATTCTAGAATCCTCTAGAACAGGCCTTGAAATTTCCACTCGCCTGCTCACCAATGGCGAGTGGAAATTATGAGTGTGTCCGTCAGGGCCATCTTGCTGAGCAGGCTCGGAGCTCAGGCCGGATCTGTCATTGGCACTGGGAGCCGTCAGACTGCTCAATAACTGAGCGCAGTGAAAGCAAAGAAAGGAGTGTGTGCTGTGCTCTCTGCCTCCCCCTAGAGTGCAGTACCCGACTCTGTGAGTGAACAGCGAAGTACTGCAACATTTTATAGGGGTGGGTGTGTGTGTCTAAATAATTTCAGCTCACTCTGGTCACATGATCCTCTATGTCAGCCAGTGGTGGCTTCAGGGGAGAGGAGAGAGCACTTAACAGCGTTCGTATGTGTACATGTGTGTGTGTCTGTGTATGCATGTACATGTGTCTGTGTGTATGTACATGTGTGTATCTGTACATGTGTCTGTGTGTATCTACATGTATGTGTGTGTGTACATGTGTCTGTGTGCATGTACATGTGTGTGTGTGTGTGTTTGTGTGTATGTACATACATGTGTCTGTGTGTACATGTGTCTGTGTATGTATGGACATGTGTCTGTGTATGTACATGTATCTGCGTGTGTATTTCTGTTTATGTACATGTATCTGTGTGTATGCGTGTCTGTATGTGCCTGTGCGTGTATACATGTGTCTGTATGTGTGTACATGTGTCTCTGTGCGCGTGTGTACGTTTCTGTGTGTACAGGTGTCTTTGTGTGTGTTTGTTGGTGGCGAGTAACTCTTAAGGCCTGGCTAGTAGCTCAGGACTTGCTCTAGGTGATTGTAGCCGTATTAGTGCATTTGTGACAGAAACAATTGAGTACTGACGTGACACTTTTTTTATTTGCACTAACATACAATTTTTAGGACAAGCTTTCGGGGTATGTCCTCGACTCCTCCAGTCACCCCCCTCTTCCCTCATCTGCTCCCTCACCCACATCTTCAATCTCTCCCTCTCTACCGGCGTATTCCCCTCCCCCCTAAAGCATGCGCACATCACCCCCATACTCAAAAAGCCCTCCCTGGACCCCTCTGACCCAAACAACCTCAGACCCATCTCCCTGCTGCCACTCACTTCCAAACTCCTGGAGCGCTTAGTCTACAACCGCCTAAGCGCCCACCTAACTGACAACAACCTCCTTGATCCACTACAGTCCGGCTTCCGTCCCCTACACTCCACCGAAACCGCCCTCCTCAAAATCACCAACGACCTACTTACCGCCAAAGCCAAAGGCGACTACTCTGTCCTCCTCCTCCTGGACCTCTCCGCGGCCTTCAACACAGTTGACCACCCCCTCCTCCTTAATAAACTATTCTCCCTTGGCGTCAGAGACACCGCTCTCTCCTGGTTCTCCTCTTACCTATCCCGACGCTCCTTCAGCGTTTCCTACAATGGTGCCACCTCCCCTTCCCTCCCCCTCTCTGTTGGGGTCCCCCAGGGCTCTGTCCTTGGACCCCTTCTCTTCTCCATCTACACCTCCTCCCTTGGCAAACTCATACACTCCCACGGCTTCAACTACCATCTCTATGCTGATGACACTCAAATTTACCTCTCCACCCCTCACCTCACCTCCACTTTCTCCGCCCGCATCACTCACCTCCTAAACGACATCTCTGACTGGATGTCGCTCCATTTCCTCAAACTCAACCTCTCCAAAACCGAGCTTCTCGTCTTCCCTCCTGCCCGCGCCCCCCCCCCCATCCTATCCATCACTACTAACATCACCACCATCAATCCCGCCCCGCAAGCCAAAGTCCTTGGGGTCATTCTGGACTCTAACCTCTCCTTCCAACCTCATGTCAAATCACTGACAAACACATGCAGGCTCCACCTCCGCAATATCGCCAAAATACGCACCTTCCTTCTACCCCAGACACCGCTAAACTACTTGTGCACTCCCTGATTATCTCACGCCTTGACTACTGCAACTCCCTCCTCACCGGCCTACCCCAGTGCAAACTCTCCCCGCTTCAGACCATCCTGAACTCAGCTGCCAGACTCATCCACCTCACCAGCCGCTCCACCTCTGCCACCCCCCTCTGCCTCTCCCTCCACTGGCTCCCTATCGCCCAACGCATCAAATTCAAACTACTCACTCTGACCTACAAAGCCATTCACAACACTGCCCCTAACTACCTCACCGACCTGATTCCCAAGTACCACCCTACCCGTACCCTTCGCTCTTCACAGGACCTCCTTCTATCTTGCTCCCTGGTCTCCTCCTCACACGCACGTCTGCAAGACTTCTCCAGGTCCTCCCCCATCCTCTGGAACTCACTACCCCAATCCATCAGACTGTCACCTTCCCTCCTCACCTTCAGGCGCTCCCTGAAAACCCACCTCTTCAGGGAAGCCTACCCCACCCTCACCTAACTGCTGCTCTCCTTCATTCCTCCTACCACTCCATCCCCCACAGCCACTTCCTCCTGTACCACTACCCCCTCCCTCCCAGATTGTAAGCTCGAAAGAGTAGGGCCCTCTTACCCCTCGTGTGCTGTTCGTAGCTGCTGTAATGTTTCATGTATTGTCCCCCCCTCTATTGTACAGCGCTGAGCAAACCCTTTGGCGCTATATAAACTCAATGTAATGTAATGTAATAATAATGTCCCCTTCTTCAAAGTCCAAGCAGTACTATACAAATACAAATCACAAAGTTTCAGCAGAATGTTAGAAGTGATGAAAAAAAAAAAAAAGAGGCTAGAGATAAGAGACAGCAAAAGCGAGGGGGAGGGGGATACTACACTCACATCAGAAGGAGTCAAGCTTGAGCTGATAGTCATAAAAATGTTGGATAATGATTGAGGAATCCCATGTCCAAATTCAGGCCGTTATCTCTTGTGTCAAATAGAATTATCATTCTTAGTTCAAAAGTTTTTCTTTCCTGAATGGATTTAAAATTTTCTTTAAGAACTAAAATATTGAGGTCTCCCATTGTGTGGCCTGGTTGTGCGAAATGGTGTCCTACAGGTGTGCAGAGGTCATCTTCTTTATGTTCCTTGATTGTATGTCTGTGCAAATTCATCCTTGTTTGCAACTTCTGTCCTATTTCGCCAACATAAGATCCTTTGCTACATTTTCTGCACTGGATAAGGTACACAACATTACTGGAGGTGCAGCTGTATGATCCGGAGATATTGAAGATCCCATTTGAGTGTCTGACACTTGGTTGATTGCTTGATTTGGTTGCACAGTTTGCAGCGTTTTTTATTGCAGGGTTTGCTTCCATTATTTGTGACCTCATAATCAGAAGGAAGTTTCCTACTGATTATTTTATTTCTGAAGTTGGGGGGTTGTCTGAAGGCCAGTATTGGGGGTTGTTGGAATATTTCTTTCAGAGTTCCATCCTCTGTTATGATGGGTTGTAAATCTTTGATTATTTTTCTTATTCCTTCTAGTGCTGGGTTGTATGTGGTTACTAGAGGTACACGGTTGTTTGTTTTTTTCTCTTTGTACTGAAGTAGGTTTTCCCTTTGTGTTCTCAAGGCTGTGTTTATGCCGGTGTTGATAGTTTTGTCCTTGTAACCTTTCTTATGGAAGGAGTCTGCTAGTGTCCCGAGATGTTTATCTCTGTCTCTTGGGTCAGAACATATTCGGTGGTATCTGATGGCCTGACTGTGTATGATGGCACGTTTCGTGTGTTGGGGGTGGAAGCTGGAACTGTGGAGGTAGTTGCATCTGTCAGTGGGTTTCCTGTGTATTGAGGTGTGAAGAGTATCATCCCTGATGTATACTGTGGTGTCTAGGAAGTTGACGTGTGTGTTTGAGTATTCCATTTTTAGTTTGATTGATGGATGAAAAGTGTTGATCAATGAGTAAATTGTTTTAGGTATTATTCACCTTCTGTCCATATGATGAAAATATCATCAATATAGCGATAGTATCTGTATGGTTTTTGTTCCATGCTGTTCAGGAATTTTTCCTTGAGATCAGCCATAAATAAATTGGCATATTGGGGTGCCATTGTACTTCCCATCGCAGTACCCATACATTGAAGATAGATGTCTTTATTGAAGGCAAAGTAGTTGTGTGTAAGTATGAATTCAATGAGCTGTGTAACATCCTCAGCAGTGTATTTGTGGTTTGGTGAGGATGATAAGGATCTGTGACATGCAGCTAATCCATCCTTGTGAGGGATATTACTGTACAGGGATACTACATACATAGTCACTAGAAGTGTATTAGATGGTAATTGCTGTATGTTGTTGATCTTGTTCAGAAAGTCAGTGGTGTCTTGCAGGAAACTAGCAGTATTCTTGACTAACGTTTTTTAAAAAAAAATTCTACAAAGCCTGAGATTTGTTCGGTGAGTGTATTCATACCTGTTATGATGGGTCTAGAATGCAGGGGGAAGTAATCAGAGCAGAAGCCTGTGAGACACAGAGCAGGCCAGAATAGTCAGACCCTGTTCCACTGATTACAGAGGAGCTAGACTAAATTTACCTAACAACCTGAACTAATCTAGGAGGGTGCTTCACATCCATCATCCAATCATGTGCAAGCAAAAATACTGTCTTTTTAAAATTATTTTTGCATGTTATTGGCTATTCTTCACAATAGCCTATTTGCCTTTAGCACATGAACCCTTCTGTCTCAGTATACATAACTTTATGACCACTAACAGGTTAAAGTGTTGCTAAACCCAGGACCCTGCATTCACTATATCTGGTCTCCCACATTACACAGAACATGGAAATGCAAATATTTTAGTAAATATAAACTGAACTGCTAAATACGTTTTGTCATCAGCAGTTAGAGTAATCTTGTGACTTCTATCAGTGTCCAGCTGAACACTTGCTAAAGCTTGTAGGAGGAGTTTTCATTATCCCTGGATCATCCTATGAGGCTGCATAACCCCTGAACCTCTGTCTGGACAGTGCTGACTGGCCCTGTGCTGATCACATGCACTATCCCAAGAAAAATAACCCTCTCTAGCAATAAACACCAAACTGAGCATGTACAGCTTGCCCCCAAGGCTCTGTACTATCAGCAGATGGATTGGGGACAGTAGAAGAAGGGGATGATCAGAGAAGACAGGATCAAACATCCTTTTTACACAATGCAGAGGATTAACCCCTTAGATTCCATTTGAGTATAACAAGCATGCTTTACTGCAGATACAGACTGAATTTACTGTTGTGGGTTTAGTAACACTTTAAGTGAATAACATTGATTATCTTATTATAATGGCATCTAAAAGTGGTGGGATATATTAGGTAGCAAGTAACTATGTTCTCCCTGAAGTTGATGTGTTGAAAGCAGAAAAAATAGGAATCGCAGTTTGTTGTGTGCATGACTGTGGAGCCTCAGACTGGTCAGGGTGCCCAATGCCAGTCCATGTGCACAGCCAAAAGCACCTACAATGGGCACCTGAGCATCAGAACTGGACCATGGAACAGTGAAGGAAAGTGGCCTGGTCTGATGAATCATGTTTTTCTTTTACGTCATGTGGATGCCTGGGGGCATGTGAATCGCTTACCTCGGGAAGAGATGGCACCAGGATGCACTATGG